CCTCGGTAATCAACTCACCATTGCGGGACCCGGTAATCCCGCAGCGCCGGTGGCCAGCCGGAGCGCATAAGCCGCTAGTAACAAATTTCTCACCCTGGGGCCCAGCTACCCCAGAGCGCCCGGCGTTAACGGGAGCGCATGACATACTCAACACATGGAACGACATTTTCATCAATTTTCCCTCTTCCGGGCGAGGGAACCCTACCTGGCCTCTTCAAGGGTTATTTTTGAAAAGGTTTTCTTCCTTGTAGCCCCCACCCCGAAGGACGGCGGCCCCCGGCCCCACACCACGTGCGGGGTTACGGGTTGGCCGGAGGCGACGCGGAGTTCGCGCCGCAACCGCCCTCACCGATGGCGTTTCCGCCTCAACCTACAGAGCCTCGACCACCGCTGCCCGGGATACCCAGGACGCCAGCCGAGATCCGCACCGGGTAATTTTTTAGAGAGGTTGTCTTCCTCGCAGCCCCCGCCTCCAAAGGAAACAATTCCTTTGCAGGCGACGGCCCTCGGCCCTGCACTATGTGTAGGGTTACGAGCTTGACCCGACTGCCGCTACCCGGGATACCCAGGGCACCAGCCAGGTCTCCACAGCTGGGTATGGTCCATGCCGGCCGAAGCCGGTACCTCCCATCCGCCACCCGGGAGGACGCGCCCGATTGCAGACCCAGCCAACTGCCATGGGATCGAGGCGCCCCTGACGTGTTTACCATTTTTCACTTCTATACCTACCCAGAGTTAGTTTTTATACTAAAAATAACTTAAAAGTAAGTACTGCAAGAATTGTGTTATAGGATACTAGAATTTCAGATATAAATACATGTAATAAAACATAAAAGAAGTATACTAGCGGCTTCGTCAATTTTTTTTAGAATCCCACAAAAAACTGACATTTCTCTGGAATAAAAAGTAATAAAATATATGCATACCAAATTTCATCGCCATCCATTCAGTAGCTTTTGAGTAACAAACATACAAACATTCACATTTATAATATTAAGTAGGATTTTTGCGAAAGTTTATATAAACAGCCACGACTTAGGTATAAATGGCCGTATTCATCATGCAAACGTTTGCTCCATCAGTATTAAAATCCAGGACCTTTAGAGATCCTAGGCCCCATTGCGAATCCACCGCGAAGATTTTAAATCTGCATAATAATAGCCCTGGTAAGCATTAATTCTAAAGTAAATATATCCGAAAGCCTGTTTAACGTCTTGACCGCTTAATTCATTTAGTCCCCTGTATCACATACAAAGAATCTCGAAGAAGTACTTAACCAATTAATCTGAAAGCACGAAGTTACAAGCACCTCTAGTAATTTAATAGCTCTCGGAATAAATGAAGGAGTGTAACGAAATTTAAATAATTTTCCCACTTATGAATAAACAAAGTATAAACTTAGTGAAGTTACAAAGTTTGTAGTAGTTGGTATATTCATCGATTTTTTTTATAGTCAGGTAAACAAATGACTCTACCCCACCTGATGTTAAGTGGTGATAAAGTTCCAACCCGAAAAAGGTGGTACAGCAGTTATAAAACTGCTACACCAACCATCCTCACCTTGCCGGCCTGCAAAAAGCTTCTTCTTCACGCTTAAAGGACCCCAGATTATAGGAAAGAGGGAACACGTGCGCGTGTAAAGAATTCCACTTACGAATAGTACGACAAAGAAACGAGTCACCAAATTTCTTTGTTCTTGTAGGAATAGTGGCCACAGTAAGTCGGTGGCAATGTAGGCCAGCGCGCGTGGTCCACTGAAGAAAAGGTGATGGAGGGATAAGGGAGAATAACTCCTCAGAACACTTGCCGTGGTATAGTCGGTAGAATGCGCTTGATGATGCCACATCGCAACGTAATTGTAGAGACTCGAGTTTCTTAGTTACCTCTTCATCGCCAATGATGCGGGCAGCGCGCCGCTGCAACCTATCCAAGGCATCGAGTAAGTACTTAGCGGAGCCATCCCAGAGGTGCGAGCAATATTCCACGCAGGACCGCACTTGCGTTTTGGACAACAAGCACAGTTGATCGGGCGTGAAAAAACGCCGCACCTTGTTCAGGATTCCGAGTTTGCGTGAAGCTGTTTTGATCACGGTTTCGATGTAGTCCTTTGGATTCAGGTCAGAGTGAACTTCCATACCGAGCATGGTAATGTTGCTCTGTAGCGCCAGTGTCGTGCCCTGAAGAGAGGGAAGGGGCAGAAATGGTGATGTTTTTGCCGTGAAAGCGCAAGCCTGAGTTTTCTTGGCATTGAACTCAACCAAGTTCGGGTACCAGGAATTCGGAAATGTGGTCCAAAGCCTGATTGAGTTCAGCGACAAGATTCTCCCGTTTCTCCTTGGTTTCTACCTGTCCAGCCGCTGCGTGTCCAAAGTATCTCGCATGTACTGTACTATCGTCTGCATAGTAATGAATATTCGCAAGTGGTATTGGTGGTGGTAGTGGTGGTGATATGCAGCAGAAAGAGTGTGGGGGATAGAACGGAGCCCTGAGGAACACCGGCATTCACTGACATGAACTGTGATATACATCCGTCCGTAAGGACACGAACTCTACGCTCATGCAGGAAGTCAGCTACCCAGGCGCAGAGCTGAGCAGGCAGACCGTAAGCAGGAAGCTTGGAGAGAAGGCTTTTGTGCCAGACCCTGTCAAAAGCCTTGGCGATCAAGGCTAATAGCCAGAGACTAACCCGCTTGTCTACAGCTTCACCCCAGATGTGTGTCACGTACGCTATAAGGTCACCCGTCAATCGATTCGGCCTAAATCCGTATTTACGATCATGAATCAGAGAGTAATCTTCTAGGTTGCGGGTCAGATGGTTGTTAAGGACCCTTTCTAAGACTTTACACAACACTGAGATGACAGCTATCGGCCGATAGTTAGCTGGGTCTGAGCGGTCCCCTTTTTTGGGCACCGGTTGCACATTGGCATCTCTCCAAGCCTGCGGCACACGCCCCAAAGAGTAAGAGAGTTGGTACAAGCGCGTAAGCACGGGAGACAACTCCGCTGCACAATGTTTTAGTACAACTGCTGGGATGCCATCGGGTCCACTAGCTTTCCGGACGTCGAGTGATTGCAACACCGCACGAACATCACGCTGCCTGATTTTAATAACAGGCATCGTAGTGCCACTATGAGGTAGTGTAGGTGGCATTGCATTGCAATCACTCATTCTGGAGTTAGTCGGAAAGAGCTTTGCCAACAAATCGGCTTTCTCTTGCGGCTCATGAGCTAGCGATACATCTGGACATCTCAGAAGTGGCAGCGAAGGCTCGCAAAAGTGGTGCTGCACGGCCTTAGCCAAACGCCAAAAACTACGGGAGCCCGTAGGGTGCGTTAACAGTTCGTGGCCAGTACGTGCTACACGTTGGGCATCCGCTCTGATGTAAGCCTTCTTACAACTTGGAAACTCTATTATAGGCAGCTTTCAGTGAGTCAACCCCGGGATCCTTAAGAGCGCGGCCTCTGGTCCAAGCGCGATATGCCGCCTGCTTAAGAGAAAGAGCATCAGCACAGTCGCGACTGAAGCAGCGGTTACGCGTGCCCTTACTGATGAGATCAGAATGTGGAATGTAATACTCCATTCCCATTACGATCTCCTCAGTTATAGCAACGGCGCTGGCCGATAGGTCCTTTTCACTGAAGCAGCGCTGCTTCCAAGGGACGGAAGCAAAGTAGTCGCGCATACTATCCCAATCTGGCGACCCATAGTGCCATACCCTGCCAATGGTCGAGGGGTTTTGGCCTCTGGCACCTTGGCAGATATCAGGCAATGATCTGATGAACCCAGTGGGGCTCGAACCACAACCTGATACTCCTGCGGATGAGTCGTAAGCAGTAGGTCTAGTAAAGAAGGCGCTTGACTTGCTATATCTGTGATCCTGGTGGGCTGATCGACCAGTTGTGTCAAGTCATGCGTGAGAGCGAATTCATTGGCAGAGATCACTACATGGTCAGTTTTAGAGGAGCCCAGCCACAAACCGTGGTAGGCGTTATAGTCCCCCAAAAACACCAGTTCTGCCTTGGGAAATTGCGCCTGGGCATCATCTGCTGCCCTATTGAGGTGGTCAAACAGTCGAGTTGTCTCAGCGTCACCGGTGTGGGATCTGTAGAGGCACACGTAGACTGCCTGTAGAAGTATTTGTGGCTCCGTGAGAAATAATAATGTGGACAGCATTGAGGTTAGAGTGGAGTCCGCGTATATTACAGAACTCGACCTCAAACAGCGCGGAAGGCGTGGGGGTGTGCACCGCTGTACAACCAAACTTTGTTTTACGAGCTGCCATCATGAGAAAAAATTGAGAGACGTGAATCGAGCTGAGTTAGTCGCGACAAAGTCAGGCAAATATGTGGAGGCACGTTTTCCCGAGTAACTGCCTAAGAAAGAGATACGCCGACTCACCGGACGGAATGGCCCCCGCACTCCCCCGGGAGTAGCCGTCGGGACCCCACGCCCCGGTCACGAACCGGCATTCCGAGATTATGCGTGACATGATGGGGCAGCCTCGCGAACTGGTTAGGAACGCTCGGGCCCCTGTACTGTGCCACGAGCGGCTAGCGGGACAGCCGTTTCTACGGGTCTCCCTGTGTCGCCCGGTGGGTCGATGCAGACCTCCCGGCATCGGTTCGACGGATGCCTCCACTGGACCGAATCCGTCGCGGCGATCTCCACTTGATCTCTGGTTGTACGCTGAACGCCGAAACGCACGTGAAGCACTTCACGGTTTTTTCACCATGCGAACGGTGGTAACAAACCAGGTGGATGTTAGGCACCCTACCACCAGAAGAGCAGACGGAAGCTCTGATATCCCTCAGTTGCTTCTTACGACACCCGCGGGAAGTGAAGGGGCGGTGAGTGGTATTCTTTCTCCGTCACCGCACGGAATTACATCGAATTAAAAAAAAATATAAGGAATGTGAACAAAATACTGCGAATGAATTATAGCTAGATATATATAGACCAAGTTTCATTAGCTAAATTCTGGATCCATGGTTCCACATACCTAGATAGAAGTCGTTTGCTCCCATTGAAGCCGCCGCGTAAGTTTTGAACTCCTTAAACTCCGACGCAGCAGTAACGAGTTCTTCGGACAGTCTCTTGTCCAAGTACGACGGCCATGTTCGCTTAACACCCAACACTGTCTGAAAAGGATCGATAATGAAAACTTGATATTTGGCAAAAATCTTTAATCATACTCAAGCAACTTTAGGAGGAAGTAGTAAAATATATTGTCAATCTAAGTGTCGCCGCACACGGGCCACCGATCACAACCACAAAACGCCGCCACCGGCATATTTTTTGTAGTTTTCATACATTTCCTATGGACTCGCCCACGACTCGACACACGATACGCCGATGGCCGCCACACGCTACAAATCGTCGTTACTCGCTTCTTGTGGCCCGCACCGGTCACTTAATGCGCCGATACAAAACGCCGCCACACGTCACTCGCGCGATTCCTCACCCCTCTCTCCCTTACCTTAGTCGGCCGCTGTCGCGCGCTTCAGCCACTTTGGTAGCTGCTTCTAGCTTCTCGTGGCGGCGTTTGTGGCTGTGGCGTGTGGCCCGTGTGCGGCGACACTAAGCATTAAAACTGCTACATCTATAAATTCTAAGATCACTTTACTGGGAAAATGTTTGATGTCTGTATAGATCAATTGATACTTTTTCTAGTAAAAATTTCTTTTTATCTATGTACTTTATGAAATTTATTTATATCGTTGTATATATACTTCCCGTACTTATGACTCATCCTGAGGATTGAGAGTGCGTTATTACAAGCTACCACATATAGAACGCCACAACATATAGAAAGCAACGTACATGCTAATTTTCTGAAATTAAGTCAGAAATCAATATATATCTTTATTCCAATTAGATAGTACAACTCTTTTGAATCGTCCAAAAGTTTTTTTCCCTACTACCACTCGTTATTGGACATATTTTTTAGCTGCGGAGAAAAAAAAGGGGAAAAAAACTCCACAACATAAAAAGAATAATGTAACAACATTTACAAATCATTATGTTGTTACAACGTCAATACAATTATGATTTATTTAATATAGAAAACCTTTTGGAATGATTGGAACAATTCAAACCCAAGCATCTTTGTCTGTAATATAATCAGACTCTTTATAATGAGCTTTTTTATGAAATAAATAAATTAGTTACTTTTTCAACTAGAGATCCCGATAGTTCTAAAAGTGCAAAAATGGCGGATACAATGTCCTTTGACTTTAAAACGGCTATTAGTTTACTTCCCATAATGACTGGTCAGGAACATGTCACCAAACAATTAATCGACGGTATAGAAATGTATAGTTCTAAACTTGATGAGACATCGAAAAATTCACTTATAGATTTTGTTATAAAAACAAGATTATCTCCTAGCGCGAAACTTCGCTTACGCGGTAGCTATACTACAGTTGATTCATTGCTCAGTGACATGAAAAAGTATTTAGTACAAAAAAAAATCGGCAGTCGCTCTTCAGTCTCGGTTACAAAATGTAAAACAGGAGAATAGGTCAATAGAAGCATTCGGTAATGAACTAGAAGATATCTTCTCTAATTAGACATTAGCACAGGCCGATGGCGACAGTTCAAAATATGACGTATTGCGACCAATTAATGAAAAGATCGCTATAAAACGTTTTGCCGATGGTTTGACAAACTCTAGATTAAGTATTATTATTGCATCAAAGAAATTTCTTTCTCTTCCCGAGGCAATCCGTAGTGCGATAGACGAGCAGACGCTTTCTACCAGTGAGGAACAATTTATGAATTTTCGTCACCACCCTAAGTTCACGAAACATTTCATTTTATTAATTAAGGGTTCCGCGGTAGAAATATTGGCAATAATTATTATATCAACTCGCGTGCTCAATACGATAACACGATCCAGTCGCATAATGTGAGCGCGCCGCGCACAGAATTTCTTAACGAAATTATGACCGAAATATGTAGCTTATTAGGTATTAAAAAATTACAGTCCACTGCATATCACCATGAAACTATGGGATCATTAGAAAATACGCACAAACATCTCGGCACTTTTCTAAGAATACAATGTGAGAGTCACAAAAGCAATTGGAGTAGTTGGGTTCCGTACTGGTGTTTCTCATTCAACACCTCGGTACACACACAAACAAAGTATACTCCCTACGAGCTAGTGTTTGGAAAAAAATGTATTGTACCTAGTAAGTTAAGTGACGCTGTAACTCCCATATATAACTATGATGACTATCCCAAGGAACTTCGACATAGACTACAAAGAGCACTGTGTAATGCGCGAAAAAATTTATTAACTAATAAATTATGTAGAAAAACTACATTTGATAAAAATAGCTACCCGATATCATATAAAAAAGGAGATTTAATTTTGGTAAAAAATCAAATAAGAGATAAGTTACATAGAGTGTATAACGGCCCTTATGAAGTAATAGAGGAAATGTCACCTAATGTAAAGATATTAAAAAATAATAGAGAGTACGTAGTACATAAGAATAATACGAAACTTTATAATGATAAGAATTAGCTGAATGCATGTGGTTGAAAATAAAATGTAACCCTTTTTTTTCTCTTTTTGAGGAGAGGGGTGTAATGGAGATTTTTGGGGGGCGTGTGATATGAAAATAATTTAATAAATATGTATTTGTAATACAACGCAACATTGAATGGCACGAAAGTAGGCCACGTGAAATGCTGATGTTTTGTAATAATATTGTGTGTTTTATTTTATAAGTGTGTGTGTGTGTGTAACTACGTAGTAACACAAAAATAATAATAATAAATTCTTTATTTATTTCTTCACATAAGTAGAAAAATTTACAATAAAGTGCTTAATTACAACACCTCACCACTTAATGTGAAGACTGGTGCTTGCAATAGGATAAACCTGTTCTACAAGACACCAGGCCTCCACTCCCAAAACTACATGAACAGAGTAAGCCACCCCTGTACCATTTATGTGATTAATGTGTTAATTAATATGAGAAGTGCTAAAGAAACAACTTAAACACAATAATAAAAAAAATAAAATAAAAATGAAATTGTATGTGAGTGTGTGTGTGTGTGTGTGTGTGTGTGTGTGAGTGTGTGTGAGCGTATGCGCGCATGTGTGTGTTTTTGTGTGTGTATGTATTTATATATAACGGTTCCCATAAATGCTTTATTTATTGCCAATGTATTACTAATTTGCAATTTTACCTGATCCATTCCAATCTCCTGAACTTGAATTAATTTCATCATCGTCATTAACTTAGAGGCATCATAAGGATATTTAAACCTATTTCATTTAACTCCAATAAATAATTACAGATCTGTTGCTTTATCTGTCTGCTTGTATACTGCCTTAGATTAAGTTTAGCATGTAACACGTTGTAGACTGAAGGTGCCACAAAGTCATATGATCTCGAGGCAAACTTGGTTTTAAAAGGAGGAATATTACACTTTGCCGCTCTTGTCTTACAGACATTAGTTATTGTACTTACATTATTATGCAATCTGCGTATAACCTGATAAATAAACAATTTTCGAACACTCAAGACTTTAGTTTTTTCATACAATGAGGCTGTTGGGTGTCGAATCGGTAGTGACATTAAAACCTTCAATACAGCTCTTTGAGCTCTTTCCAATTTAATTAAATGTACTTGTGCAGCGCCTCCCCAAGCACAAATACAGTAGCAGATTAAAGATTCTCCCAAAGATTTATAAACTCTAATCAACAAAGGCAGGTTAGTTACCGTGCGAAGGTTCTTAAAAACATACATTAATTTTCTGATACGCCCAGAGATTAGTGAAATATGAGCGTCCCATTTTAAGTGTTCATCTATCATGACTCCAAGATACTTGAATGATTTAACGCGATCTAACTTTGCACAGTTACAGTCCGATGGAATATCTGATAGAAGATTACAGGGATAGGTGTGAATAGCTAATGAGAAAGACTTCTTAGGACTGGAGGCCTTATTTATGGAAAAGCAGATGTATTCAGTTTTATTCACATTAAGGGATAACAAACTATTCTCAAGCCAGGCTGTAACCTTAGATAACCCTTTTTCTGCAGTAATTTTAACTTCATTCCAAGATGAACCATAAAATACGAGAGCAGTATCATCAGCAAACATAAATAACTCGCCTTTTTTCAGATGGATTTTACAAAGGTCGTTAATGTAAGCTAAAAATAACGTTGGACCAAGAGTACTACCCTGTGGTACACCATAATTACAGGAAGCAGATTCACTAAAATGGCCGCCCAATCGAACAGTCTGGCTTCTATTTTGAAGATAGTCTTTGAACCAATTCAGTGCAACGCCCCTTATACCTAAATTTTCTAATCGACACAGCAGGATAGGGATTGAGACCGTATCGAACGCTTTTTGTAGATCCAAAAACACAGCAATACACTTCCTCTTATTATCTTATATATATAGTGCACCAATATTATAAATATGTATGTTTTGTACCATTAAACCTTCTTCAAGAAATGGACACCAACCTATCTACGTCTTTGTATTTATGATGACCTGCCGCCATCACCCAACATACCACAATTTTATATGGACTCGCCACACGCGGTACGCCGGTGGCCACAACACGCTACAAATCGTAGTTGCTCGCCTCTTTTTTTTTTATATTAAGGTAGGCACATGACTCTACCCCACCTGATGTTAAGTGGTAATAAAGTCCAAACGCGAAGATAGCTGGTACAGCAGTTATAAACTGCTACACCAATCATCCTCACCTTGCCGGCCTGCAAAAATGCTTCTTCACGCCTCTCTTAAAGGACCACAGGTTATAGGAAGGACGGAACACTTGCGCGGGTAAAGAATTCCACTTACGAATAGTACGACAAAGAAATGAGTTACCAAATTTCTTTGTTCGTGTAGGAATAGTGACCACAGATCACTATATATGAATATGTAGCAAGCTACTTGGAGCCCGCACCGGCCACTTAATGCACCGATACAAAACGCCGCCGCACGTCACTCACGTGATTCCCCACCCCTCTCTCCCTTGCCTTAGTCGGCCGCTGTCGAGCGCTTCAGCCACATTAGTGGCCGCTTCTAGCTTCTCCTGGCGGCGTTTGTGGCTGTGGCGTGTGGCCCGTGTGCGGCGACACTAAAGTTCGCTGTGTGCGTTTGTGCGCCCTGTTACATGAGTTCTATTTTACACACACACCTTCGTACTTTTATGCTGTCCGGTCTCTAGGCTACTAATGGCTCTCGTCTACGCAGTTATAACCCCTAATGCTCTTTGTCTTTTTTATCAAACGAAGTTGACAGTGCAATTTTTAGACCAAGTTTAACTTAAGACAAGCTTATGAAATAAGAGGGTGACACTCACTTACTCATCCCAAAATCCATAATCTATTTTTAAGACTTACCAATTCAAATGACTTCTCCAATGTGCCACTGAGGCCGAAGGTTGAGATGACAACGGAACCTGGCGGTATACCGAGCCCACCACTCGTGCCCAGTCTTATGAACATAGGGTCCTTAGCCTTCGCGTAGTACATCAGCTTTATCACTTCCTGGAGGACTGTCGTCATCGAGGGATTGCCGATGCCATGCTGGAAAAATATAGTATATATAGTATAGCTTTTATAGACCAGGGTCGATAACTTTTGAGACCAAAAAAAATTATAGTAGCATGAAACCCATTAGAAAAGGTAGAGAATATAACAAAAATGAAAAGAAAAATAAATTACGGGTGATCTGAGGTCGGGAAGGGGAAGGGGGTGAGTTTTTAAGGGTAAAAAATGGTTAATCTTGATTTCCGGTAAAACTGCAAGTCCTATGAAAAAAAGTTAAATGGCAAAGTTGTAGGTAATAAAAAGATCTACAACTTTTGTATCGACACTTTTTTTCACATAACCTCAAAATTTATGTGAAAAATGCGAATAACCGAGGTTTTGGTTTTTGATTTTTATTTTTTGCAAAAAAAAATATTTTTTCACGAAATTTGGTGAAAACTTACCTTTGTATGTCCCAAACATACAGTAATTTTTTTGATTTAAAATATTCATTTTTTCACCTTATTTTGACTTAATATCGAAAAAGCACCCTTATTTTCAATCGAAAATTCTCACGTCAAAATATCTGCTTTTTTAAAAAAGTTGGGGTGTTTTTTGTTTGTTGAAATCTCTACTTTCTGATGGTATAAAAAAATATACACTACTGTGGTAAATGTTCTCAGAAACTGCAAATTAATAATGAAAAAAACTCCAATCCGAAAAATTGATTTGAATCATTATGTATGATTTTGAACTATTTATTAAAATTTACACTTTAATTACTCGAAAAACGTAAGATTTCATGTTATATTGATAAACAGAAAAATTACAAATCCATAAAACATGCAAAAATAGTTGTTGTAAGTAGGTATTAAAAATAGGATTTTCCGATTCGGGGTTTTTTCATTATTAATTTGCATTTTCTGAGAACATTTATCATAGTAGTGTATATTTTTTTATACCATCAGAAAGTAGAGATTTCAACAAACAAAAAACACCCCAACTTTTTTAAAAAAGCAGATATTTTGACGTGAGAATTTTCGATTGAAAATTAGGGTGCTTTTTGGATATTAAGTCAAAATAAGGTGAAAAAATTAATATTTTAAATCAAAAAAATTACTGTATGTTTGGGACATACAAAGGTAAGTTTTCACCAAATTTCGTGAAAAAATATTTTTTTTTGCAAAAAATAAAAATCTAAAACCAAAAACTCGGTTATTCGCATTTTTCACATAAATTTTGAGGTTATGTGAAAAAAGTGTCGATACAAGAGTTGTAGATCTTTTTATTACCTAAAACTTTGCCATTTAACTTTTTTTCATAGGACTTGCAGTTTTACCGGAAATCGAGATTAACCATTTTTTACCCTTAAAAACTCACCCCCTCCCCCTTCTCGACCTCAGATCGCCCGTAATTTATTTTTCCTTTCATTTTTGTTATATTCTCTACCTTTTCTGATGGGTTTCATCCTACTATATTTTTTTTTCACTTTTCACAATTTTTAAAATTATCGACCCTGGTCTATTATGTTAAGCAAGCAAAGGAGCTGGCAGTCCTCTTGATGGTAAATGGAACTGCCGCCCAGACCACTCATGCGTTGCTAACTAAATTGGAATTTTCATATTGCTTTAAGTCTTTCAAATATTTTTCTTTGAAGCGAGCTGGAATCGGGGCAACCGTCTGATCATACAGAAGACCTTGAAGCAACAATTTTGTTTTGTTTGTGTTATTATGTCCATATTGTTAAGTATAGTTTGAAAAAAGGAAAGGGGTTTACATAAGGGCAGCAAACTAAGAATAGCCAGAGCTGTGGGTACATTTTTTACCGCATCAACTATCTTCGCAACGTGACAGCACTGTGACATCATAATCCAGCATTAAATTCAATTGCGAAGATAGACGATGCTAGAAATAATTGGAACGAACTCGTCATTAGCCATCCTTGTCAGTCTTCCCCGTGGAACCATTTGATTAAATAAGGTATAGAAGCTAAGCTATCCCCTTCTCAGAGGATGATCACATCAGTTATATATAATGAATAGACGTTACGTGAATAAAGAAAGAAAGAAAGAAATAAGTTATTGACCAACAAACATAGCATAAATAAAACAAAAAACAGAATAGGGTCAACTAGGTCCCTCCCTAGGCCTCAGCACAATGCTATAGCGACACTAAGGCCGCTGCGGCGCTGATATTCTGGCAGGGCCTAAGGTTGACGTGAATAAAAGAAGTCATAAAAACAAAAACACACAATCACGGATAAACAGTACCACAAAGAATAAAAAAAATATGAAAAGGCTATTGTTTTTTCCTTTGCCTTAGCGCAAAAAATAATAGAAACCACAATAACACAAAAAAAAAACTGTAATTACCTATCTCTAGTCTGTGGAAAATTTAATAAATAATTGAGTACGAGCAACACGCCGAGCAACATAAATATAATTTAAAGTAATAAAATCTCAACCAGTGTAACAATATTCTATGAGTAACTTTGTTTTTCTCAAATAACCAACTACAGCAAATATGGAAAGAGGGTAAGATCTATTATGTATGTAAAAAAAACAATATTCGGCAGTAATAGAATTGAATTAAAAAAATAATCTATACTTATAATAAATCTGTAGAGATGTCAATTCTGTACATGAAATATATTTTTAAAATAACTATCAGGGGGTGATTAGTGATCGATACTGATGCCAAAAATGCAATCAGTAAAATTTTTGTCTGTCTGTCTGTCTGTCTGTGTGTATGTTCCTTATAGAAACAAAAACTACTCGACGGATTTTAACGAAACTTGTTACAATTATTCCTCATACTCCTGGGCAGGTTATAGTATACTTTTCATCATGCTACAATCAATAGGAGCAGAGTAGTGAAGGGAAATGTTGGGAAAACGGGAGAAGTTACTCCATTTTTTAAGCTTCCATCGCGTGTGCAGCCTTAATGGTTAAAGTTACATAGAAATCATGTATGACGGAAATATTCTACATAAAATTTCCTAGAAAATATCCCGCAACAGCATATGTCTATCTTTTATGGTTGACTCACAATAACACGTGTAACTCCCGATAGCTTAGCAGTTCGGAGCATTCTGATCATATTTGTTTACTCTTACTTTTATAATACTCTGACTCATCCCTAATTTAATAAAGTTAACATTATTACATATTCAATAAAAAAAAACTTAGAAATCGGTATAGAAACACCAAACTTATACATGAAATAACCGGTAGGGTATCAAAAGGCGGGAGGTCCGAGAGCGAGCTGTCTAAATCTGTTTTCTGCGTCGCTCCCTCCCCTGGGGGACAATCGCTTCCGATGAAGCCTTAGAGGCCTTCCCGGCCAGAGGCAGCCCCTACGGGTGTTATTTAGTCAGTACGAGTCTGACATAACATTGCAGCCGGCTGTAGGGTATCCATGAGGATTTCACAACTGCTCCCCTGCCTGGGAGGAAAAAAAAAATAAAAAAAAGAGAGCGAGCGAGCTTCAATATTTGGCTGTTGATGCGTTTAGAGCGCTCGACCTTATTGACAGACAATAATTGATATTGAGAAACCGTGCTTATCAGCGCGACTTTTAGTCTTTAAATAGTTTATTTGAATTTCTTTTGTTGTTATTTTGTAAAATAGGTATTAGTTGTTTTGGTAGTGTTTAAATATTCGTTCAAATTAAAAAATATTAAGCGTAGGTACTTTTATTAATTAAAGTAGTTATAAGTATTTATTTTTAAGTGAAGTAGGTATAGGTAGATAGTATTGCACAGGCGTTTCAGCTTTATTTTAATTTCTTTTTTGTTGTGAGTTGTATATATTTCTGGTTATAATTCTATAAGAATATTTTAGTTTAAATAGTCACTTAGATTTTAAGTGTAAGGTAGCTAAAGTCAGGACCACGTATTAGTTGTTTTGGTAGTGTTTAAATATTCGTTCAAAGTGTAATTTAATCATAAGGGATGAATGTACGATGGCCCATCGAAAAGCAGTAGAAGCGGTAGACAGAACTTTAAGGGATATAAGACAAAATGATCGACCAATGGGCGGTATCACAGTTTTATTTTGTGGTGATTTCCGACAAACCTTACCGGTAATACCACGGGGAATCCGAGCTGATGAGGTTAAGGCTTGCCTGAAAAGCTCTTATTTGTGGCGTGATATACATCGGTGCATTTGACTATAAACATGCGAGTGATAACTGTAGATAACCCGGATGATCGTGAATTTTCTGATATATTATTAAAGAAAATACCTTCACCAAAGATACCTATCCACTGCTACACCAAGGAAAACTTATTCTGACGCCTGAGTTATGTTGTATAGTGCAATCCCAACAACATCTTATATCGTCAGTTTACGGTGACGTAACAAATATATTAAATAAGGACAATTCTTGCCTATGCGAAAGGTCCATTTTAATTCCTCGCAATGACCAGGCATCTGAGATTAATAATAAAATACTGTCCAATATCCAGGGGGAAAGCAAAGTTTATAGTTCAATAAATAGAATGGCCGATGAACAAGAAGCCACTAATTACCCGATAGAATTTTTAAATTCTTTAAATATGCCCGGACTTCCTTCTCATGAAATTTGTTTAAAAATTGGCATTCCGATTATTCTGCTCCGAAATTTAAGACCACCACAACTTTGCAATGGAACTCGGCTTAAAGTAACCCAGTTGCAACAAAATGTAATCGAGGTTCAAATTTCAATAGGTTGCGGTGCAGGAGAAACCATTTTTACTCCCAGAATTCCCATGATACCAAATAATTTTCCATTCCAATTTAAAAGAACGCAATTCCCAGTATCGGTGTGTTATGCAATGACAATAAATAAGGCTCAAGGGCAGACTTTTCGTGTTGCTATAGTAGATCTCGGTGTCAGTTGTTTTTCACATGGTCAGTTATATGTCGCTCTTTCCCGGGTTAGCAGTTCTAGAAATCTTTATGTTCACGTGCCGGACGGGTCAATTTTCAACGTAGTTTACCCGGAAGCTTTGCGTGTAACGTTATGCGTTACATAATCATATTATTACCCTAAAATACTCTTAAATTTAATATTTA